ATTAACTAAATTTTTGTTCTTGTATTTTCTTTGCTATTCGAATTCGTCTAACTTTTAAATAGTTTCTTTGCGTCACTCTCGGCAAGAAAAAATTAACATTTAACAGATAATATTTGCTGTATTAAATTTTTTCAGAATGTAAGCGGATAAAGCGAGTGCTCCAATGGAAGAATGATGCATATATATATATATAGCCTAACATTCTCAACTGTCAATTTCACCTACCCTGTTCTCCACATACGAAGCTCTGGCCTCGCTCATAGTTGAGCGGAAATTCTCTAACTACTAAACACTAATCCTATCTCCAGGTTAGCAAATAAGGCGATTTGGCCCTCCAGGTTGGGGGTTGATCGCAAGGCCAGCAATCTTGTATCGGAAAAATTTTACCACTACGCAGCACTTAGGGTGGCCAAGGTTCACACTGGACTGTAGTGCCAAATAAGAAGAAGAAGAAATTTTTTTTCAAGTAGGTGCATCCTTGAAACCTCTTATATTAAATAATAAAAAAAATCTAATATCAATATCAATAATATTAGAATAAATAATTATATTAAGAACATGTCAAATAAATAAATAAGAAAATGGAAAAAGTTTTCTAATAAATATTTAAAGTACACATTAGATAAGAAGCAAATAAATCCAATGCGCTACCAATCCCTAAACCATAAATTCGCCTACGTCCTAACCTGTCTGCTATCAATGAAATAAAAATTTTCTCTACTACGTATTATCCTTGTGGTGTGTCAAGGATTATTTCGTTTCAAGGACAAGGTTTCCATACAATTACGTACATTTGATACTAAAGCACTAAACTTACTTCAATGTTTCCCATCGTTTGGAACGATGTGAAGACGAACATAAAACCGAAGCCCAATATAAGGACATTTATGAATTTCGCATCCATTTTGTTACGTTGGAATTTAAATGATTTATTTGTTAAATTTTATATTATTTTATTTTTCACTTAATAAAAAAACAGAAACAAAAACAACAAGACGCAAAACACAAGACGGATTTTTTTTACACTTTCTAATGATAATTTCTCACTTCCGCGCTTTATTTAATGCTGTAGGCGGATTGCAAAGTTTTTCTTCGTAGTTGCAAAAATTACTAATTGAATAACTTTTGAATAACTTAAACTATTTAAATAAATTGTGAGCTAAATTGTGCATTAACAAATTGATAAAAATTCATTATATTTCTATTTGTGTAAACAACAAAAGGCGTTAAACTTTTATCAAACAAAACACAATCTAATGCGATGCATTGGCTGCTCCAGCACGAAAGTTCAATGAGAAGAACGGAACGAAATACGTGTTATGCGCAACAGAAATACCGACTACGTACAACCGCTCACTTGAATGCTTGAAAACTGATTGGACGGTGTAAATAAAATCAGCTGCTGCGCTCCCCAAACGACGAGAGTTCAGCTCCAATCGTAGAGATTTTTAACTTAGTTTTGGAGAATTTTCGTATTTTGTTTACATCTTTGTTCCGTTTTCAGTGTACAAAAACAAATAAAAATTAAAATACAGTTTATGACGCCAGTAATGTACTATCTAAAGAAATTTTTATAATTATTTGGTAGCTCTTTATATGTTTTTTGACCATGTGTGAGTTCGAGTAAATTAATGGTAAATTGAGGGAAATAGTAATGTTGGTATTTACCAGAATTTGTAGTAGATTAAATTAGATAAAAATTAGGTAAATTAGGTGTTACCATTGTGAAAAATTTAAAAAATGTTTAATAAAGAGGTTTTCGAACAGAAGTGAAACAACAACAAAAATTTATTTTTTAAATTATTTTAATTAATTGAATTTTTGGCTGACCATACAGCTGTTTCGAGTATTGCCAAATACCCTTCATCAGTGGTCTTCGAAATAATTCTTATATTTAATTATTCGTAAATAATTATTTTTGAGACTGCAAGTACCAGGAATCGAACTCGGGTCCTGCCAAATTAAGTTGTTTCACTTCTGTTCGAAAACCACTTTATGTAAATATAACAAGTTTCTATTAAAAATATAATAGTCACTTCCATCTGGAAAATATGACGTTAAATTACAACTTATTCACAAAAAATGTTTAAGAAATTAACATATAAATTTGAAAAGTTTTAACCAAAAATAATAAATAAATGCAATAAATAAATACAAAAATATTTACATAAGTGCAGTGCATATAATCCTAAAGAAGTTACAATTGTTATTAAAAAATAAATAAAATAAGAGCGAAAATAAAAATTTACAATAAATAAATAAATATTTGTATAAAAAATATTTTTTTTAAAAATAAAATTAAATTAATTTTTTATTATTTTTTTTTTAATAATTTATTTATTGACCTGTTTCTTTATAATCGTTTTAATAATTTTTTTTATCTAATTATAGGTCACTTTTTGTTAAATAATTCAATGTTTGTTTAATATTTTTTAATATATTCTATATTTTGACACACCTTGAGAGTTATCGTTAGGATTACGATCTAACATAAATTATTATTACTAAAACTATATGTACATCATCCTCTTTATTCTATTGTCTAGGTATATTGCTTTATATTTTTTTAAAAAAATATATTAAGTATTTTAACAAAAATTAGGTTTCGAAAAGTAATGAACTACAAAAACAAAAATTCTTTTAAAATTATTTTATATAATTGAATTTTTGGTTGACTATACAGCTGTTTCAAATATTGCCGAATACGCACTATTTTAACACAATTTAATAAATGTTAAATAATCTAAGGTCTAAGGCAGTTAAAAAAAATTAAAATAAATAAATACAAATAAAATATAAATACAAATAATACAAAAATAATACAAATTAATTTAATACATAAAACTTTTATATATAAAAATATATTGTAAAATATATTGTAATATATATCTACAATAAGTGAACTTGAATTAAAGCGTTTTTGCTACGGGGACTCAATTAACGAGACAAATCATTTAAAATTAAATAATATATAATAAATATGAAACTCAATTTCAGAATTTATTTGTAACAAAATTATATAAGAAATATATAAAAGTATTTACAATACAATATTCAAATTTAGTTAATTTTTAAATTGAAATTAAAATTTAAATACCATAAATTTAGTAAAGATGACTTAAGTAAATTAAAATTAGTGCTTGCAAATGTTTTTTTAAGTGCATAACCATTTACCAACACTATTTTGACACCAAAAAATAGGCTACATTATTACGAACTTTCACTTCTCTTATTTCTCTTAAGTTGGTTAGTTTTGTATCTACTAGTATACATTTTCTTCTCATAATATAAACAATTAAATTATTTATTTTATAAATAGCAAAACTTTACTCAGGAAACTGCAGACCATTTATTTTATATGTAAGTTACTTTCTAATTACATTCAATAAAGTAATGCAATTAATGAATTTTCATCTAGGTTAATTAAAGTTTATAATTAAAATTTTTTACTTTCATTATTAAATATGGGTGAAAACGATACAGAACGTAATTTACTAAGAAGCCTTATAAATGCTTCGGAAAAAGCAGCTAATATTGCCCGTATATGTCGATCGAATGAACAACTTCTGTCGTTATTAGTTCAAGAAAAAAGTGGAACTGAAGCGAATGCGCGATTTGAACATGATTTCAAAACCCTAGCAGATGTACTGATACAAGAAACTATCAAACATGATGTTGGAAATTTAGTGAGTACATGATATGTAGTCGTGTCTTATTAACATAATAATTATATCTGTACGTTAAAATGGATTACATACGTGGGTTAAAAATTGCCTTGATTAGTGTTAAAATTTGTGATAATAAAGTTCTGTACGTTCTTTAAGTCTATTTATATATTAGTTTGTATAATAAGTATAGTAATGAATATATTTTAAAGGGGAACTCCCTTATTTTCATATGTTGTCTAGTGTCTTACCAATTCAAGAAGATGTCACGATGTTTTTGATTATAATTTATCTCTACTTTGTGTAACATATGGTAATTCATTCAGCACAAAAGATCTGTCATAGTCAGTGTGTTCCGCTTCTTTGGGATTTTTGTGCTCTATTAATTAATTTATATTCTATAAACGTACTTATTCAATGTAAATTATTTTAATTATTTTTTTATTTTATTTATTCTTTTTTATTTTAAAAAATAAATAATTATTTATTTTTATTTATTAATTTTTCTTTTTATTTCTTTTTTTGATAAGTATGAGTAAATATTTTTTATATACTATTTTTATTGTGTTTTCAAAAAAAACTAACGGTATGAAAATGATTTTTAAAATAATTTGATTTTAAATTTAATTTTTATTGTTGTTAAAAATAAAAATTAAGAACTGTTTATAGTAACATAAATTTATCGATATTTCGACTTTAATCTAAAGCCATCATCTGGAAACTAAACATTATATTAAAATACTTGTCTGATCTTTTATAAAATTGCCCATCTTTAAAGCAATAGAAATCTGGTCACCATAATATTAAGTTATAATATAACAAAAAATATCTCAATCTCAATACTCTATTAAATATAATATATAATCTCAAACCTTTAAATATTACTATTTACATTTAGTTTCCCGAATTGCTTGAATCCATTTGTGGCGAGGAATCACCAAATTTTACAAATACTCTTGGTGAATCAGTCACCATAAGTGTAGGTGAAACCTTAACAAATACAATACAATGTCTGTCCACAGTGCTAAATGGTAATGAAGAAGCAGCGGAAGCATTAGCCAATGAAGTTCATCGTGATATATTCTTTGAGGATGAGAGATTAGGGGATATACCAGCTCTACCAAATGATTTAGCATATGAAGAACTTGGTATATGGATTGATCCAATTGGTAAATAATAATAATCTAATATAGTTATAATTACTAATATAACTTTAAATATATTTTAACACTACAGATGCTACTGCTGAATATATTTCCGGGGATTCAATGTTTACAAACTTTCCTGGTATCACATCAACTGGATTGGATTGCGTTACTGTGCTGATTGGTGTCTACAATCGTTTAACAGGAATACCAATTATAGGTGTTATTTCACAACCATTTCAACAAAAAATTATTGATAATGAATATCGATCGCTTGTATTTTGGGGTGTAGCGTTACCCGATTTACAAGTGAATAATTGTAAATTCGATGCTAGAATAAGAAATCCTTTAGGCATTTTCTCTAGTTCAGAAAATCCAGATGTTTTGCAGTGCTTCTTAAATTTAGGTTATGAAATAGCTTTCTCAGCTGGTGCTGGACATAAAGCGCTTAAAGTTATAACAAATGAAGTGGAAATATACACGTTAAGCAAAGCCGGCACTTTTAGATGGGATACTTGTGCACCACAAGCGATATTGCGTTCGATAGGTGGCGATATATATAATTACAGTGAATCGGTCAAGCAACAGAAACCGATTGCATTAAGTTATTCACCAGCAAATGATAATGAGGAAAATTGGAAGTGCAATAAAGGTGGTTTAATTGCTATACGTGATAGTAATAACATTGAGCAGTTCATTGTGGCGTTGGCAAATGTATAAAAAAAATTGTGTGGTATACAATATATCAGGGTTTCGATTTCCTATTATTTTAAGAATTAAATGTTATACGTTGTGTGCTGTTGATATTAATTACTTAATGCTGAATATATTTTCCTGACGTTAAAAACTAGTTGCTATTTGTTGTGTGCTCTTGATTTTAAAAAGTTCAATTTTGATATTGTAAACAATTGTATTTCGTTCGTTAAGTTTTGAAATAAAAAAACAGTTTCAATTATTTGTTTATATATAACATATAGTTTATATTGTTAACTTCGTAACATATTTGTTAAAAAAATATTATAGTTACATTTCATATTTTATTTAGCTAAAACAAACAGACTATTTATGTTATGATAAATTTGTTAGCTGCAAAATCTTTAATAAGTTAGAAAATTGTTATGAAAACAAATTAAAATCCAAAAAAAAAATAAATATAAATTGTTAAATAAACATAAATTATTTTAAAACAATGACTATTACAACATCAATTAGAGAACTTGAAGATTAATTAAAAAATAAATTTATTAAAATTATTTTATAAAATGCCAGAAATGCATTTGTTTAAAAATAAAATATTAATTATAAATACTAATTTGTTTTGTGCTAGTGGCTATTGTCATTTAGTTTTACATATTGTTGCGTTTTAAGTTAATTATTAAACTATTATAATTTTTTGTATATTCTTGCGTTTTAAGTTAATTATTAAACTATAATAATTTTTTATATAAAAAAATGGTTTGCATTTTGGACTATGCTTGCGTTTTCTGTAAAAATCATTTCATATAACAAAGCAATTTATAAAATATGACTGACAACAAATTGGTAAGGCACTTCTTTCATTATTAAAAGTTAATATATATTTTTTCGTTTGGCTTTTTATGTCGTTATACACGATACATAAAACTGCTTCAAATTAACAGAAACATTTTGTTATTCTACTAAATTTCATATATGAGTTGGGCATTAGACAGCTTTCTTCATGGTCATTTCATGAGATGTACGTAAACGTCTTCTCAGCTCATTAGGGAAGCGTTCATAACATTTCTTGCATACTGGCTTCTCGTCATATTCATAGAATTTTGATTTCTGTGTCATTTTTGTATCGCAGACGGAACAAGCAAAATGATGCACACACCAGGCTTTATTTAAGGCAGTAAAAACTGTTCATAAAATACAAGAAATTATTATTTTATTTGATTTGTTAAATGAATGTAGTATACTCACCATCTCCAGCAATTACTTGATTACAAACAAAACATAAGTTACCGAACAATTGATGATAATGAGTCTCACAATAAGCTAAACCTCGTTTCTCATAGTGACGATGCCCCAAAAATGGTTTCTCACATTTGGCGCAAACAAAATGCTGTGAAAAAATGTAAATTTATCAACTTTTTTTAAATATTTAATCTTTATATAAATATATCTAAATACATATTTATATGTAAATATATATACATATATATACTTAAACATGTATAAAAATATATATATATTTATTTATACATATATGTTTATAAATATATATACATATATATATCTATAAATATATATATGTATACACATGTATATATAAAAGTTTATATATTTTTTGCTTACCTCAACATGCCAATGTTTGCCCAGTGCTGTAACGACTCGTTCCTCAATTGGTCGCCGGCAGGCACCACAAATTGGTATACCCATTTTATCATGACAACGGAGGCAGTAGAGCTCATTCTTAGAAAATTAAATTTATGAAAAGAAGAAAAAAGTAAATAAAACATAAGATAAGCAGTATAAATATTAAATTTTTAGGGAATACTCATATTCAAAGAACTTTAATCTTATGAGTGAGTTGTAGCACTAGAAGTCAGAAATTTTTATTAGGGTGCTAAAAAATTCTTTTAAAATTTTTTAAATAAGTTTTAATAATTTCTATATGATTTTGATTAATATATTTTGTCATTACGTAGTCATTAAAAAATGTGGCAATTTATGTTATCATCAATATTAATACCCTCTTTAACTACATTTGTAGTAAAAGAGGATTTAGGGGACCCACAATTTTTATTATATATTTATATATTCCAAAATTATTTTATATATACCAATTAATAATTTAAAGCACAGTTATTACTGAAGCATTGACAGAATGGAATAATAAAGTATTATCGTTAGCAATATTTATGAGTGAACAGTTTAATATATAATAAAATTATAATAAAAATATAATCTTCTTTGGTTCTACGTTCCAAAGAAACTCGTCTTTCAAACAAACAAATGTTACTCGACCCTTTTAATACGGTTTATAAAACACATTTAATAGAAGTGTAATTCTTGCTATTTTGATTGGAGTAAATGAACATTCAGAAAAGTAGATTATATAGAAAGAAAGTGGAGCTATTAGGCATTATTAAAAAGTAAATCGAAGTGACAATTCGTAATATGAAAGAAAACTGAAAGCCATTCTTTTATATAGTATACATAAGTAATTAATATTTACCATATCATTTGCAGTTAACCCAGGACGACTTTTAACTTCTCGAGCAGTTGAATCCAATTCTACACCACATGTGGTGCAATTAAAATGATAACCATGATAAACTTCTCCACGGAAACGTAAAGGTTCTTCATCAATAAGTCCACTAAAATTTAATAAAATATATATTACTAAATTCAAATTATATATTTGGATTTTCAAGTTGAAGTAAATGTTTTATTAGAAGACTTAAATAAATGAATTTAAAAAAATTTTATTTAAAAAAAAAAAATATATGACAATATACATATAGAACTCAAGTAATTATATAGATTAACTCAAGTATGATCAATATAATTTCTTAAGAAAATTAAACTTAAAGAAATATTTTGTATTTATAAACGAATACAATAGATAACTAAGTCACAGTGCGAAATATGTTATAATAATAATATATATGATAATAATAATACATACAATAATAACGTATATAGTAATAATAATAATATATATAATAATAATATATAATATATAATAATAATATAATATAATAATAATAATAATAATAATATATATAATAATAATAATATATATAATAATAATAATAATATATATAATAATAATAATAATAATAATAATAATAATAATAATAATAATGCATAATAATAATAATATACATAATAATAATAATATATATAATAAACATTATATATTTATAAATTATTTAATATTTACTTAACCGGTAATAAGTATACTTACTGGCATTTTTGGCACACATAACGTCCAGTTATTTCAGCCTTAACTTTGGCATTGCACTCATGACATAAGGCACGATTTTGATTGCGTATAAAGCCAGAATCAGCTAATTCCTTAGCACACAACTGACAACGGAAGCACTGTGGATGCCAGCTTGCGGACATTGCCTTTATAACACGTCCGATAACAAATTCTCCACATTTATTGCAACAAGGCGCAAAGAGGACATGAAAATCATGTTCACAATATTTGCGTCCTTCGAATTCATAGAAGATACCATCTTGAAATGGACGGAAGCACTGAGCACAACTAACGAGAAATATAATAATTAAAATAATCAAGATTTAAATACAATTTTTTATTATATATAAAAACTTACACAAAGCACTGCGTATGCCAGAGTTCACCATTCGAATTAACGATTTTTTCGTTTGGCTCGAATCCTTCCGTGCAACGCGTGCAATGCATTGCGCTCAGCGACATATTAGCTACCTGTAATCTACAAGAAATAATATATTAATTAAATAAATTTTTTTTAAATTATTTAATATTAATAATTTTAGTTTTTTTTAGTACATTTCAGCTTTTGAGTACATCATTTTGTATAAATATTGGTATTTTTGCTTTATGAACGTTTTGTTGAAACAACAAATATAAACTAAATTCCGATGAAAGCTTGCTTAAATGCTTTGGTGACTATTATATGGCGTCGTGGATGTATATGAATCATGATATCGTTTTTGTAATAAATTTTATAAAAATTATTTATATTTCAAAAATATGTTATCAGTTTAGTATTAGTGTAACCGTCTTGAAGGCGAGACCCAAAAAGTATACATATTTTACATATCACTTCATATAAAATATTTTTAAAATAAAAAGTTTAGTTTATAGATCTAAATTGTATTTCAAGTTTATAAGCGGAGTAAAGTCGATAATTTTTTTATTTATTTTAAAGTTAAAAATTGTGATGTGATAAATATTATTCGAAATATTTTGAAATGCAAATCTAACAAATGTTCAACAACTAAATTAGATATATTATATATATTTAATTGGAGAAAAAAAAGCCTTTATGTACTACAGTTGCGATACAGAGGTGGAGGATTACTATAAAAACTAATATCATATTATCATTATATACCATGTCTAAAAGGTATGCATTTGAATTCTTTACACAAATAACTCTAACTGCGTAATAGAAGCAAGCAATAGCAAAACCCTTGCCATATCTCTCTCATGTTAAAATAAATACCATGTAGACTATATACTATCAATTTCAACGATCCAGAGAAGTAATTTATTGAGTTTTCACCTGGTTGTATAACAATTAGTAAGCAAACATTATAGATACTCAGTTAAAATCCTACATCCGAAGCAGTTGAAAAAATCCACGATGGATTGATTGATCGGCGATTAAAAGTCCTCTATGTACGACAACTAAAATTTATAGGTTTTTAATGCGGAAATGGGTTAATTATGGATATAATAGTTATAATCTATAGGCCTTTTTGATCGATTGATTGAAGTACATAGTGAATTTTTTAATTTCATATTGTTTTATATATTTGATTTTGATTAATCAGTTAGGTATACTAACACTCTATGTAACACGCTTGCAACAATTGCTTACAATTAAGCACAAATGCAACAGTTTAACAAATTTCATTCATGAAAACATGTTTTCCAATTGCATTATTATATTAATTTAAATATGGACCTATTAGAATACACTTAAAATCTAAAAAATGGGTTTATCCAGTATGAATCGGGTTAGAAAACGACCGAAGTTCTGTCAACTAATAATGTGCTGATACTTTTGAGACCCATTCTGAACAATTTACATTGATTACTCTCAAAAAGAAGAAAATATCACATATTATAATATAATATATTATATATTTTCGCATTAATTCCATAAATTATGTTGTAAGTTCAGGATAGTTCCATTGAGGATATTCCAGAAATTAAGCTACAGTGACTATATGTTATCCCAAAAGTTGATGACTTTTTGTTTCGCCTTAGCATGTCTTAGACTAATTTGTTTTAAAAAAGCATAAGCATAGATTGGCAAAGAGATACTGATGCGAGATTCAAGATTATTAGAAAACAAGCATCCACTTTAGAAAACATAGAGATGCTCATGATAGATTTTCAACTAATATACGAATTAATTAATTAATTACGATTTCAAAATTAGGTATTACTTTCATTTTTTGCTTAATTTTATTTCATTGAAAAGAAAAAATATAGAAATTGGTTCCCAATCCTGTTTTACTTAATGAAGAACCCATATGTCGTCAATATTTTCGTCAATAAATGTGATATATAGTATAGTATAGTATATACAGTCTATAGTAAAACGAGTACAATAAAGGCAGCTAAGCAAATCCAAACGAGTCACAGAACAACACAATTTAATAAAAATTCCTCAACAATTGAACTTATCACTAAGTAGTAATTAGCTTGTGCAATTTAATTAATTTTAATTAATAATTAGTGCACATTTTTTAAAAATTGTTACTCAAGTCTGAAAACTGATGTTGATGCATAAGAACCAAAAATATGTATATTATTAATATTTCTGATTATATTGCAAAAATAAAAGGGTTGTTGAAAATAGGTTTGAATAATTACATATAGAAGAAACCATACAGTAGATATAATTATAATAGCATATAACATACATATATAGTCAATATATGCATTTCATTTTTTAAAGTTATATATTATAAACTATCACATTGATATATGACAAATCAATGTCATGATGAAGCCCGTTAGCTCGTGGTTTATACGGATGCGGTAGACATCGTCAACTACCGGCCCAAACATCTTACGAAGAGTTTTTCTGTCGAACACTCCCAGTATTGCTTTATCATTCTGTGATGTTGCCCATGCTTCTGCGTCATACAAAAGTACAGGTAAAAGGACTGATCTATAGACCGTAAGTCTTATTTGTCGAGAGAGAGCTCTACACACCAATTGCCTACTGAGTCCATACTAGCATCTATTGGCAATAGTGATACTTCGTAGAATCTCCAACCTGATATTATTGTTTTTGTCACGACGGTGCCAAGGTAGATAAAATCTTTGACGGATTCGAAAGTATAACCGCCAACTACTAGCAGCTGACATATACTTTATTTTGCCGTCATTCACAATTTATAGGTATCAAATAATTATTTTCGAATTACTTTTATAGATAGAACCTATATTCTAGATTCTATATATTAAAAGGGTATAGTCCCTGGGAATGAAATATAGTCAACAATAGTTATAATTATTGAATTCAAAATAGTTAAGCATAGAACGAATCGTTGCAACAATTTAAAAAGCTTAAGATATTTTCTAAAGGTAGTATAACATATTTCAGTTTATTTTTCTTAAATAGTTAAAAAAACTATTAATAATTATATTAAATATGAAACATGAATTGCGTTACCAAACATTTTTTATTCAATATACTTCCAATTTTTTGGCTTTCATCACAAATAAATTAGACGACAATCTATCGTCACTTGGTTTTTCGCATGTGTTATTAGATTTAGGTGCTCGTTCTATATACATAATGAGAAGCACCTTTGAGATATATTTTTGAAATAAATTTCAGCACACCCTAATAATATATGGACATTACAAAACAAACTAAAAGAATATCACAAATAAAATCTAATCCCGATTTTTGTTTTTATGGAGAAGCACGCAAAGTTCATCCACTTCGAAAAGAGTTCTCCAATCACAGTTAAAATAACAAAATATTTAATTACAATTTATGTTTTTTAAAGTTTTCTCACAAAGTTTATAGTTAATTCAATTTATTCAATTCAATTTATTAAATTTTGTTTTTTTATTTTGTATATAAAAAAGGTCTGGATTTGCTTTGTCTGATGTAATATTTTCACTACACTATATTATGTATCTATTAGATATTGTATAACAATATTTAGTTTTTGATATTGTATAAAACACATTTAACATTAATTAACTAAACTAACCGCTTTTGAATTTTAATATAGAGAAAAATTATTTAATTTAAAATTATTTATTTGTGAAGCAAATACGCGTGAAAACAACCGAAGTAGGCGAACTGCATTCACCAATTAATTTGATTACAATCTGTGCGTTACAAATGTGCCAATAGACTATTATATGTGCAGCATAAAGGCACCAAAAGCTGAAAAAACATGTTGCAAAAAGAGCTCCCACTACTGATTGACCGCGTCAACAGCCACACAAATTAATTCGATTCAAAAAATTCTTTTCAAATTCGTTCTTCTCTACTCAGTGTGACGCCCTATGCTGTGTGGATCATATCTATGTGTAGCGCTATATGTATAGGTACATTAGTCAAGAATTGGCATATGTTTTTAAAAATTAATTAAAATATACATTGGCATTTCAAAACAGATTGTGCGGTACATTGTTATTAGGTGAGATAAACATTAAACATGACTGCTGTTATAATTATAAAAAAATAAATAGATATTCTCGAAGCTATCTTAAATTTCTTATAACATATTTGAACATTCGTTTATAGTCATATAGGTATATCAGTTAAATAGCAGCCAGACAAATATAAGCTACTACAGTTCGTTATTTGAATTTCACTATCGCTATAGACAATTAGACAGCCATGAAAGCAATAGAATACAGAACGGTGAAATCGAAGACGAAATGTCGTACTCCTCTAGTGAACAGCGATGAACACAATGTCTAAAATGGGTTCTGAAATATTCATTTATAAATACAAGTCATCTATTCAAATCTCTATATATGAACTGTTTGAGAGCATAGAGAAATTCACTAAAGAGGAATGACCTGTGGACTAATCGCAACAGGTTGCTAGAACCTTATAGCCCAGAAAGAAATAAAATTTCAATACTTACTTGGTGCTTTAACGGTGGTATATTCCGACATCTGGTTTGTGCTGGACCACAATAATGAAGACAATATGAAATCGATTAATCACTTTTTACAACTTTGTTCACGACTACAGATGAAAAAAATTCAGTATCTTGGAAATTGTTTCTTAATGGCCTGCCAGATATAACAAAAGCAGACTTGTCGGGTCTAATCAGTTTTATGTAAAAGGTATATGTTTTAACTAAGACTACATCAGGATATAACAATGGTTAGTGTGAGTCGTCGCTCTTAGGCAACTATTAGAGTATCACAATGGGCAATAGATGTCTTCAAATAGAAATACTGACAGTTATATCAGCACACGCCTACATAACCTACTTGATATCCGATTTTGTCATTTGTATATAGCTGTATGAACAAAATGGCACCGCTCCAATTAACATATATGTCCTCTCTATTTATAATATATGCATTTTAGGTAATAATAATAAAATAAAACATATTTTATATACTCAATAATCAATATCATTCACATGTAGAGTGTGAAATCAATTATTAAAAGTCTGCAGAAAATATACTAAAAAAAATCTTGTTACAAGGTAGCTTATATCTAAAAACCGATTGTAGCATGACTTTAAAAAACATTGCCATAAAGATAAAAATATCAATGAAACATTTCCAAATGTGCCTATTCTCGCGCTTTTACTCCAGCGCCCGTTATGTTTATCGCCCACAAAACAAACGAAAATACACATCGATTTACTCTTCTAAAGAGTTTCAAACAGAAGTAGAGCGGGTACAGGTATTTTATCTGTGTGTTATCATATGTAATTTGTTTTTTCTTTGATAATAAATATGTATTTTTTTTATGTGTTTTGAGAGCGTACAAATACTATTTTAATATACATATTCCAAAAAATGTTAACCTTTTTAGAAAAAAAGTCAAGAAATCAAAAATTTTTTTAGAAAAGTAGAAACTAGAAATGATTATGTTTTAATTTCTATCTTATCTGAGAAGTAAAGTACAACTGCTTATAGAATTCTTTTTTATTTTCAACAAACATGATTATTTGGAGTTGCATATTTTATAAAAAAAAAACATGAAATTAATGATATTGATATTTGTTTGCAATATTATTATTAGTATACAATCATGTACTGAAACCTATAAGATATTTTATGCTATCTCTGCAGAAAGTCTCTTAATCAAACACTGATAAATTAAGACAATTGATAAACCTAACAACAGCTTTTAGTTCAATACTAGACTTCTCTGTCACTCAGCATTTTTTTAGTTCCCTTTTTAAACGGAAGTAGTCAGTAGGAACACATGCAGTTACCAAAGCAGTAATTAAATTGATTTCAGATTTCAAGTCAGCTGTTCAGTTGACCTTTGGCATCGGTTAATCATTTCACCAACACTTTACATTCAATGTACAGTACAGTCAGAAAAGGATAGCACGATACATACAACTATTATATTTCTTTCGGTATTAAGTTCTTCTTGAGGTGTTCGTTTGATATTTAATATTGAAACAAAATTTCTTGATAATAAATCCGTTATACGAGCTACTCAAGGTAACTTTGAGTAACACTGTGTATACACAAGTGGGTTCCACCTGCAAATTTTCAAGTAAATGAGAGCAGCTGAGAGAGCGTAACATCCCTGTCGAAATTTGAAAATGCTACACAGACTTTACTCGTACATTTTATTTCAAGTAAAATTTGTGTGATGTGTGAAACAGCTGTTTTGGTTTGAATTTAAATTTTTGTATTGTTTATTTGCGCGGCACTAGTGATCTCACCAGACTTTTTACACAAAGCTGTTCCATGAAAATCTGTGCGTCATTTAGCACTTTATTTGTGTTACACTCTTATATTGTACTTTACATGTGTTTTACTTGACTTTTAGCAAAATTTCATATCCTTTGGTATACAAAAACACGATGGATTTCCACGTTTTGTCCAGAATATTAGTCGTACTTACCAATCTTCATCTTAGATCTTAAACGTATTGGTTTCGAGAGAGAGAGAGAGAGAGAGAGTTGTACAACTTGCAGTCTGTCACACCAAACTGGAACCACTCAAAATTCTTGTCTAATTTTTTTATTTTTGGATAGGAATGCAAAAAACACAGATTGCATATTTACTAGGACTACTAAAATTTGGGTCTAGTCTCTAGTCAACAACAAATAGATAGAACTTGAAGGCACACTATTAATTACTTTAACCTGTTTTTTCAAGGCTAACCATGTATAATATAATTAAGTAGTGTTTACTACTAAATGTATTTTTTTTTAAATTGCATCAAAGCAGTTCCACAGTGATATTAATAATAAAATAAATAAATATATTATGTACAAAACTACACGTACGGGTTCACCTTAGGAATGATCTCCCAAAAAATATATATATTTTTGCTTTATATATATACTTCTATACTAAGCATTTTTGATTAACAACAAATAAATATTGCTACTGATCTATATATATTAAAATTTAGCTATCAAACACATTTGATTCATATTTCTCTTCAATAATTTTTTTTTTATACTAGAAAAACACTTGTTTAAAAATAGCACTGAATGGCGATGACGTCATGGATGAAGTAAACATCTGCAGCATAAAATTGAAAATTCTACATAAAATCTAAACTGTTGCGTTGTTTATGATTTCATAGCATGAAATTATGTTGGCAAGATTTTATATTTGCAAAATGTTAAAAATTTTGGATTTTCACAATTTCAGGCGTTAATGATTATTATTAATTATATGATTTTATCATGAATCTTATGAAAATTAAATAAAAGCACAAATGTTTAAATTTATGTTTATGTCACTTTAGCTATAAATTAATTATATTTCTTACTCGACTGGTGGCATTTTTTGATTTATTTGAATTGATTGCACTTGAAAATATTAACTTTTTGCGATTAAACCGACTAACGACGACTATTTGCTCTTTGGCTTAGCAAAGATGTTTTTCTCCTCCCAAATTTAGCAAATCAAGATTTCTCGTTGACTTGTATTTCTTTTTTTTTCTTGTCGTTTGCAAAAATATTTACCAATTTCTACTATTGAAAGGTTTTAAACAAAATTTTTTAACAATAATGAAACAAGAATTTATAATTTACCTATTTTATCACAGTTCAAATTTTATTTTTCTTAAATTATAATAAAAATTTTTTAATTAAATAACAAATTCTTACTAATAAACAGAAAGGCTAATACAAAATGTGCAAAGTTTCTGGGGCAACAAAATGGAAACGAAGCAACACAACAGCAATAATTTGACAGTTGACAACAGCGCCATCTGAAGGTAAACGTGATAGAAACTGACAATTAAAAATCAATTAAAATTTTAAATTACAATTTAAATTTGAATATTTGATATATTGTGTAATAAGTAATTTTAACATATTTTTGAACTTTAAAAGCTTTCATTTTAATTAAATATAATTGATAGCAAAATGTAATTACAATAAATGTAAAAGTAAGTGAAGAGAATACAGTATGTCAAAAAAAAAGCAAAGCAACAAATCAAAACAAATCAACTTCATAAATTATTAGAGCATATTTATAAAATGGTATAACAACAAATCAATAAATTTTATAAGTTTAATCGATAAAAATATTCCGTAGCAAAATAGAGTGTATAATAGAAATGCGTGACAATACAATATCTTTTTAAAATCGCTTATAGATTAGCCAAAAATTACTAAATAATTTAGCTTTAATATCATTTAATATGCATAACCAGTGCTACTAAGAAATTTTGATTTTTATATTGTTATATTACACAAAAATCTCTATCATATATTCAAAATACAACAATTATTAAAACTTAAAATGGAGAGGTTAACGAACAAAATGTTTACTTCATTTATAATTGCGTATAAGCGTAGTCATTATTGGAATAATTATAAATTATTGTTAATTTGAATAAATTAAATAATGCACTATTTTTTATATCAACTTTAACTTTAGTTTGATGCATTGTTATAGTAATCAGATACTAAATCCTAAATTATGTCATTTTTTATAATTTAAAAACAAATTAATTTTCTATGTTCATTTATTTTATTACAGATATATTAGATTATTCACATTACTCAATATATATTCTGTAACATCATTATTACTTAACTTATTTAATGCTATGAAAACAAAATAAAGTACATATTTTATTAATTAAAGCTATAAATTAAATTAAGAATAATTTTGATAGTATTCAGTTAAATACTATTTAAATGTATTTATTAAATCGCATATTTTTTTGGACAATTATTTTCAATGACAGCTGCTGCTATATTGAGCTCATCTTCAGTAATCTCATGTAATAAATCAACAGTATATTTATTTAAACCATCTTGAGATAATCCGTCAATTTTTTTCATATAATTTAAGTTAAAGTTTATATCATTGCCATATCGTTTGTTAGGAATTTCTTGTAAATCATTATTTTTAGGCTCAAGACTTACATCTTTATGATTTTCTTTTTCAAAATTTTCTTGTGAATTATTACTTTTAGAGTTTAAAATTTGTAATTCATGAATTTTATTTATTCGCTTCTCTTGTCTTTTTAAATTTTTGGTTTGTCGTTTATATTTTCTATTAATTTGCTCCGGTGTTAGTATCCTCAATCGTGGTTTGGGTAATATATCACATTTATCCTCATTGCTTTCTGCGCAAGATTGTCTAAGAAGCAGATCGTTATTTATTTCTTCTGGAAGTCTTACTCTTAAGCGTGGTTTGAATGGTACATCATGTTTTTCCTTATCGGTTTCTATGCAAGTGGAAGTAAATGCCATTTCATTGGATTTTTGATTATTTACTGTGATAATTATTGCTTCTAGTGTTAAGTGTTGAGCAAATTTTTTATTAAATGTATTATTAATGTTTTTTGTGTAAGGTGGACTGATTGATATAAATTTTTTGAGTAATAATATTCTAGTAGTCTTTCTGTTTCAAATTATAATTATTATAAATTAAAATTATAATATAGTTATATAATATATAAAATAATGTGTCACTTAATTTTTAATTTTTTTTAGTATGTTTTTGTTTAATTTTTTAATAGTTTATATATTTTAAAATATAAGATTTTAAATCTAATTTATTTTTGTTTCAAGATTTTAAGTCCTGTTGTAAGCATCTTTACCATTAATTAATTATCATTACAAGAACCTATAAAAGGCTAATAAAAAACAGAATTAGATAAAAATTCAAAAATGTGCACTAATTAATGTATTTTACCTTTATATATATTTGATGGATCCACATTATTAAGCTAGGAAAATATTCGCAACAATTTGAAAGACATAGTTGATATTTAATGATCTAAAGAGCAAAAATTATTTCTTGTTTAAAAAACAGCATTATTTTGTTGTGATATAGAATAAATAATTATATTTCAAATGAGAGCAAGTCTTTTTAATATGAAATACAAAAGTATTGTACTAAATTTTATTCAGTGTAAATAAGTGTTCAATAGTAATGATATCCCAAAAATCTTAGACTTCCCCTAAATATAATTTTTTTGATTATCAACAAATAAGCAGTATTGCTGACATTTATGGAAACTAAACTTAATGATTTTAACATTTTTTGCTAACAAATTTTTCCATTTAAGAATAACCACAAATTCTATAAATTTACATTTTTTTTGATGTTATCACTTTTACTTTTTGTTTTTTCTTTTTTTCGCATACATAAGAACATGAGAACTTTTTAAAATGTTTGTTATTGTAATTAACTAGAAATTATAATCCTTACGGTACTGACATTTTTTAATAGTTGTAATTTCACTTAAAAATGCACAATTTTTAATTAAACCGGTAAATGAGTTGAATTTTGTTATTGCTTTTTTGTCAACCTTTTATAATTGGCAGAGAATTCTCTATATTAATTATAGTTTTCAAAATATGACCAAACAAACACAATATAACATTAAATATTGTCTCTATTAACATAGTTCACTGTCGTTTTTCTATAACAAAATTAAAAATATATACTATTTAACGAAAATGTATATAAAATGTCCAAAGCAGAGTGAGTGAGCAACGAACTGTAAACAATATAATACAATAACAAAATAATGATTTGACAGCAGCTAACAGTGCCCTCTTAAGGTAAACAGAAGAAAAAGAATTTAAGTAGCATAAATATATATCAATACTGGCCCTCTTCTCAATTTTTATTAAATCCGAAAAACTCATATTATTGTTACTTTAATTTTCATTTAAAAAACCTGTATAATAAATATCCTAATATAATATTGATTTAATATTTTACATTGATTTATTTTAAATGATTTCTTATTTGGTACATTTGACAGCTCTGAAGTATGACAAACAACATGTGTTTTATTATATATGCTTTATTACAATATATTTGTGCACATAATGCAACAAAAATATTGATTATAAATAAATAATTAATATAAAATTGAAAATTAAAATAAATAATGAATTAGAAGCAATGGTAAAATTGCATACAATTTTAAAATATTCTCTTACAAGAAAATTAAAAATTGTGTGGAATATTTATGCCTTAATATTCATAGTACATATTAACTTGTTACCAACTAATAAGTTAAAAAATAGAAAGTCCTTATGTACTTCTGTATATATTTATGTATATATTTTAAATAATAACGAACAAAAATGTATAATTTTTGAAACATTTACTTTTCGCAATTTTGCATATGTTTAAAATATTTAATTTCCACAATTTTCAAATTTAATTAAAATTTTTTTTTCTTTTTGTTTGAATTTTGTGTATAAACTTTTGACAAATGACTATAAAATTCGTAATTTCCAATCAGTAGATCGCTTATCACTTTGATAATATTTTTTCCTGCAGTCGATAAAATATGTGACCACTTTATAATTAGGCACTTGGAGAAATTAGTGTTGTTGTTTTGCACACATTTTAGTGATAAACTTATTTTTTGCCACACTTAAAAGCTGTCGAATGCACATATTGTTACTTTTTTAAAAATTATACTTAAATATTTTATTTTGCGTATACTTTCAAAAATTTTTAATGAAATGAGTTAATTAGCGTATAAATATATTAAGAGATGTTTACGTCAATTAAGAAATATAATATCTTTACCAACATTTTATATATATATGTGCATTGTTTCTTGATTTCTATAGTTTTATCAGATATAAAGCAACCATAAAATAATAATTTCTTATTTCTAATACTATTAGCAACACACACCTGCTTGATGGGTAATGTTTGACACATAATTACAATAAGTATGGTTCGCCTTTAAACTGTCAGTGCAGAAGGCGCGCGACTGACTACAAAATTTCACAATTTTTGATTCTAATAAATTTAAGGATTTTTATACGATATGTGGATAATTAAAAAACAGGATACAGGTAACTAACAAAATATACCTTTAAGGTGTTAGACTTTAATAATATTTGCAATAGATGAAACCTTCACTCTTATTTCGGAAAAAAATAATTATACTGTGGGTCGAACAAGTGCAGATTTGGTATTGTCTCATGATAATTCAATAAGTCGTTCCCATTCGATTTTACGTATTATCGTTAGCGATAAAGAGACACTAGCATTAGAAGATATTGGATCTAAATACGGGACTTTTATCAATGAAAATATAGAAAATAGCGTTAAACTTAACCAAGGAGAACAACAGGAATTATCAGATGGGGATCGTGTCAGGTTTGGCGTTTTCAAAAATATTTGGCATGTCTCACATGCACCCATCATTAGTGCAATATCTGGATTGTCTTCAGGAGATGCTAAAATATTGGAACATTATATGTCTATTTTAGGAGGAAAACTTGTAGATAAATGGGATATGAAATGTACTCACTTAACAATGAAGGAATTCAGATTGACTGTGAAAGCATTACACGCCTTAGTTGAACAGAGACCAATCGTTACTCTTGACTACTGGCGAAATTTTGTGGACGCTGCACGTCGTGGACGTAGTACACTCCCCCAACCTAATGAATACAAGCCTATAAATAGCAATGATTTGATGGGACATAATCTAGATTGCACAATAACACCGGCTCGTAAAACTGTTTTCAGCGGTATGACATTTGTGTTTATGAATGCGAACCAGCTTGAATTATATGGACCCATTATAATTAAAGCCGGTGGAGCTACAAGAGATCTAAAATCTGGTGTGCAAAAATCGTTTTTACTTAAAAGTAACGTAGTTGTTTTGCAATATGTGCCCTCTACCCAATCGCAAGGTACGCAAACGATTAATGTCATTGAGAGTAAGTTTTTATAAGTTCTTCGTTATTTTTCCTTATATTTATTTGCAATTTTTGTAGACTATTTAGAAACTAATAATCTACGTTTTATACCTGAATATGAAATTGGACTAGCAATTGTACACTGTTCTACAGAAAAATTCTGCAATCCTTCTTATAAGGTTATAAATGGCCTAATACCCTCAACAAGTTCCATGGGTTTATCTCCTAATACATGTCTTGTTAAAAATACTGAAGCTACTCAGAGTAACGCTAGTGAACGTACTGAATTATTTCTACTTGAAACAGAAAAGATCGGTGTGAATGATGATGGCAAATCCGGGAGCAAACAAAATCCAATATTAGATGATGAAAGTATGTCTCCTATTCGTGTTACTGAAAGTGCGGAAGAAAATATGCATTCAAAACGTAAACGGAACAAAATTAATCAAATTGTTAGCGATGACAGTGATGACAGTAATGAAGAAGAGAATTTATTTCAATTAAAAAAAAGAATGCAAACAATGGATAAAGTAACTGGCAAAAAATCTCCCATTAAAAACGTAATTTCCAAACCGAAACCAAAGCCTTTACCTATTATAACTACACGGAAAGAAAAAACTACAGTTGAAGGTTTTCAGCAAAAATCAGGTGTGCAAGTAGATAATTCGCCACCACGGAGCAGTAATACAGCTCATTTGGAGACGCAGCAACCCTATAAACGTCCAATCATAGCAGTACTTACTGATAATGATGATAGTGATGATGACCTGTTTAATTTTGGTGGCGGGCCATTAAAAAAAATATGTTTACAAGATAAAGGTTTCGGTGAAGAACTTTACGATGTACGAAATAAACATAATGATAGAGTTGATCACGCACCAGTTGCTGTACCTACAACAGAACAATTAAAAAAACCTGTATTTGTTTTGCCAAAGCCAAAGCCTCTGCCACAAAAAGTGAGTATAACTGGTTGGTTGTCCTGTGGTAAAACTATTAAAGATGAAGAACTTGATATGAAAAATGAGAATAGTACAGATGAAAAACATCAATTTATTGAATCATTTAAAAATGCTTTCATAGTACAAGTGAAAAAGCTGATAATATCTAAACCTTTAGAAGATCTTTCATCGTTACAACTTACATTAAACAATTCAAAAAACAATGGAACTCCTAATTTTAAAAAATTTGTTAAGGTACATTTAATTATTCCAAAATAGTTCATTTATTATTGATCATTTTTATTCCATTTTTGGTAGACTAAAAATCTCAGACCGCAGCAAAGAATCGTACCAACTCATCCAGTATCACTTCGGAGTTTGTTATTAAATCAATCATAAAATTCGGAATTCCTTAATTTTTTAAAACAGATATATATTTTACGTTTTATATGTTATATATGTTTTATATGTTTTATATGTTATATATGTTTTATATGTTATTTAAATCAAATACATTTTCAAATATTTAAAATGTTCAGATTTTTGACATTGTACATTTAAACTTTTGTAACTCGTATTCACATATACATAATTAAGTAGAACTTTTGTAGAGAGTTTTTTGTAGCATTAATATGTTTTATATGAGTATTTCTCAAAGAGAACCTTCATATATACGAGAATTATTATTGGTACAGATTTTGTTAACTATTAAGAATTAAAAAAACACCAACACAAAATTGATTTGTAGTACGTAGTATTAAATTTAATTATTTTTAATTCTATTTTTGAATAGCAACAATATTTTGTTTTTTCTGGAATATGGAATTGTTACAGAGTAGTTCTAACTTATTCAGTAATTTACAGCAATTTCAAGCTCTCCTAAGTGCTTTGTATTGTAATAAATAGCATATGAAACGTTAGAATATTATAGCTTAATTAATTAGCTCTAAAAATAAGATCTATACAAAAATATACTATTAAGTTTCAATAATAAAAAAACTTGTATTACGATATCTGATATGTCACATGAATATTATAGTCTGCTTTTGTTGTGTCAAGTCAGAATTTTGTCTGACATACAATATTTGTTGGTCAGTCTATTCCAAATGTAGAATCTCTCACAGACGCAAATCAGAGATTTCTAGGTACTGGGCACTGGACCATAGGACGACACCGAACTAGGCTTGGTATACCCTGTAGTATCTCCTGCAATGCGTGTCTACCAGCTCTCGAAGAAAGAACACCAGAAGACCTGTTGTGTTTATGTCCAGGCTTGGACAGAACTAGGCTTAAGTTTCTGGAGGCCTCCTTCTTCAACACACTCGCTGATATCTTAAGCATCAGCCAGATTCTAGTGTCTCTCTTGTAGTTTACCACTTGTTCATTATTTAATATGATGTGAATAACTTTATTCATTAATCTTTTTTGAAAATTATTTTCGATTTCAAGAATTATTACTTCATCAAAGTTGAAATTATGTCAATTTTTTCCCATCATCTTTACGTTTACATATACTTTTGTGTTCATCTACTCTTTTTGCCAATCTTTGTTTAGTTGTTCCTATATAAACTCTATTTTTCTTTCTTTTAATACCTATTATTACGAGGATTTGTGAATTTAAAACGGCTTTCTTAGCTAATTGAGAAGGATTTGGTCCTCCCTCCACCATAATTAACTATCAATATTTGTTATGATAACTTCTGCATAACTCATTATCTCCTCCTAAAATAAAGAATTAAATTATTAGAGAAGTTTCTTTAGACATAACTTACCTTTAAACAAAATTTAATTTAATTATTTATTAATTAATTATTTCAAAATAATAAATATAGATATAAATCATAAAATTGTAAATATATATAATATGAGAGAGAAGTAGTAAATTTTGTTTATATTTCTTACTAATATTTTTAATGATTTTAAATAAATATTTTTATTAATTAACAACAAATTTAATAAATTTTGATAAGTGTATGATTATAGTTCATGATTTTCAATGTTTATAGTTGTTTCTGTTTGTCACATGGTTTTATAGTGTGAATTAAACATAATGTTGGATCTGAAACATCATATAGAAAGGTTTAACGCACTATGACAGAATTATATATTTAAATTGCCAAGGGAAATGGGGTATTACTAAAAAATTCATTTTGCCATCATTTTTACTGTGACTTTACAATGTCAAGTTGTTAATTTTGACTATAATCCTCTTGAATAGGTCACTATATCAAATTGTGTTTTCAAAACTTTATTATCTTTGCTGGCTTGACTTTATAAGATGATAAATCTAAACACTTGTCAGGTAAACCAGGATTATGTAAACATAAATAAAAAAATTTATAATTATTATATTATCTTTATTAAATAATATACGTATATAAATTAAATGAAATTATTATTTTAACATCCAAGCAGAACAAGGACAAATTGTCGACTTCTCAGAAGAGGAACATACAGACCCGTAATGTATTTCGAGAAGCGTTATAAGTACAAAATTTCATTTATATATATTATAAATATTTTATTATTTATATTTTATATTTCATTTATATATATTGAATAAAGTACTCGTGTTGCTATAAAGCTACGCTTTCTTTGTAAAGTGACAAAGAAGCTTTATTTAAAATTTAGAGGGTTTTTCGAAAAGCAAAGAAAGAAATAAAGGACAAACACAAAAATTTATTTTAATTTTTATTGAAATTTAGCTGACCATAAAACGCTGTTTCGAGTATTGCCAAGTACTCTTCATCAGTGATCTTAGGAAATAATCGAATTTTATTTAATTAGTTTATAGTCCGTATGTAATTTGTTTGGACTGCAAGTGCCAGGCTTAGAACTCATGCCTGTCAAATTAGAAGCGATGATTAGTCAATTATATTTATATAAATGACGTTGATATAAAAATAAACGTTGATAATATCAAATAAATATTTTTTGTTAATTACAAATTATATTAAATTCCTCTTAATTTCTTCTTCATTACGTAGATAGTTTTTACAGTAAAGTGAGAATTATTTTCAAAAACATTGCGTTATACATTTTTTAAAATTTTTTTTTTGCATTAATTTTAAATTTAATAATTTTGAAATTCAAATTAATTTAATTTTAAAATAAATTTTAAGTAAGTATACAAAAGTACAATTAAATTTTTAGAAATTAGAAGATATAGCGTTTACTGTGATTGCATCTATTTTTATTGCAATTTTAAATTTAATTAAAAATTAGAGATTAATTGGAATATTTCTCTTTTTTGATATATGTTTTTTCTGAAATTTATATTCATTCGTCATCTGACAGCTCAATGACACTTATATTAAGATTGTCATTAGAAAATTGTTTGAATTGCGTTACAGGTTTGCGTTCGAAATCAATCTCTCTGCGTCCTCTTTTATTAGAAGAAACTCCAGGCCCATCATCATCACTTTCGTTATCGTTTGTACTTCCTGTAGCACTTCACATATTTTCCGTACAATGTAAGCGTTATTTATTTCCTCCGTGTTAATACTCTTATACGTGGTTTATCTTTGTACTACATTATTCTGAACGTTATTATTCCTTGTTTTCTCTGTTGTTAAAATTTTGCTTACAGTATTTCTAGAACTTTAGCTGTTCTAGCAATAGTCTTAGAATATCTCTTTTAGATGATTTTATTGAACATCTCTCTATTTTTAAACTTTCTTTTTTCTGATAAATTCTTGTCCTTCGTCATTCTATGTCAATGTCTACATATCTTTATATTGGATTGATACTTGTTTGAATTTGATACATATTCGATCTTGGCATCCAAATTCGAGAACTGGTACCGGATTGTCCATACACTGTATTATTTAATTAGACTGAAAACACTACAGATACTAATTTAATATGATGCAAAGGTAATATAATTTTAAATTGACTTTGTGTTTAAGAATATAACTTTTGGTTAACAACAATTTATTTAATATTTAATAATTTCTTGCTTTCAAAAGGATTTATGGTTAACAAAATCATTTTATACCCAATTAGGTCATGATATCTTCTAAACTGAATTATATGAAAAATTTTTCAGTTTTAAAGGAAATATTAATTCAATCTACAGCTGTAATTCTATAGTCTACAGCTAACTTTTGATTTCGTATTGTACTTCGGGAAGCGTTTTGAGTATAAAATTTTATATGTATTATAAATATTTATATATTTTTATTTGTTTTAAAAAGAAAAAAATTTAATTAACTTTAATTTAAAATAATTTTATTTAATTTTTATGATTTCAAATTTATTTTTAATTTTTTTAAAAACACATAAACGTTGATAATATTAAATAGAAATTTTTTGATATAGATATTTTTTGTTAATTACAAATTATATTAATTTCTTCATTACATAGATAGTTTTTACAATTAAGTGAGAATTATTTTCAAAAACATTGCGTTAAACATTTTTTAAAATTTTTTTTATGCATTTATTTTAAATTTAATAATTTTGAAATTTAAATTAATTTAATATAGTTAATAGCACAAATAAATTTTAAGTAGATACAATTAAAGTACAATTAAATTTTTAGAAATTAGAAGATATAGCGTTTACTGTGATCGCATCTATTTTTATTGCAATTTTAAATTTAATTAAAAATTAGAGATTAATTGGAATATTTCTTTTTTTTGATATATGTTTTTTCTGAAATTTATATTCATTCGTCATCTGACAGCTCAATGACACTTATATTAAGATTGTCATTAGAAAATTGTTTGAATTGCGTTACAGGTTTGCGTTCGAAATCAATCTCTCTGCGTCCTTTTGTATTAGAAGAAACTTCAGGCCCATCATCATCACTTTCGTTATCGAATTGTACTTCTTGTAGCACTTTCATTATTTTCCGTACAGTGTAAGCGTTATTTATTTCCTCCGGTGTTAATACTCTTATACGTGGTTTATCTTCTGATATTACATTATTCTGAGCGTCATTATTCCTTTTGTTTTCTTCTTCGTTGGTCTTAACAATTTTGCTTACAGTACTTCTAGAAACTTTAGTTGTTCTAGCAATATGTCTTAGGGAAAATCCTTTCTCTTTTAAATCGATGATTTTTTGTTGCTTTTTCATTGAACATCTCTTCGTCATTTTTAAAACTTTTCTTTTTTCTTTTATACTGATGTAAATGATCTTGATCCTTCGAACTGCAATTGCTTAATGAAAATCAATGTCCTACATATCTCCTTATATAATGAACTTGTTTACTATTCTTTGATTTGATATTTTATGATATTCATATTCGCAATTCCTTTGGCATACCTAAATTCGCACGAACGTAGGAAATACCTGCGAATTGTACGCCATACAGGCGAATGTAATTTTAAATTTAATTAGACTGTACAAAAAACAATCTACAAGGACACGGTAAATTCTCAATAGTGGGGTTTAATGCACACCAAAAAACAGGTAATATATTCTTAAATTGACTT